TTCTCTGGCAGCTTTCCCTGGTGGCTTTTCTTGTCTCTTCCGAGAGTCAGAGCAGAAGAGACCATTTCCAACCCTCTGCCTCAGAGCAGAGAGATTGCAGTCTGTTCTTCAGTGAGCTCTCCAGACCACACTATGTCCACTTCTGTCTGTGCTGCTATAGACTGCAGCGCCCTGGGTTGTGCGCCCCTCAGCAGGGCTCCCAGTCTTCCCCTCCAGGTTGGGGCATGTATTTGCCCTTTGTTCTCTAAAACCTCCAGCTGCCCCCAGTTCACACGGGTGGCCCTGCCACTCCAGGTTTCAGTCCGGGGGGCTGCCCCACGACTACCAGTCTGTGAGTCTGTGCCCCATCCCCAGTGTGAGAGACTATTGGGATCCCACAGTGCAGAATCCCAAATGCTCCCTCCCCCTTCTGTTTATCTTCCATTATCTGCCCGCAGAATCATGGCTCTCCACTTCATACCTCAAAACTAACCGCCTGCGATATTCTGTTTGTAGAGATCCAGGTCTGTCTTCTTACATCTCAGGCTTATTGTTCAGAGTGGTCTGGTGGATATCAGGTCAATTCAGGGGAGTGGTTGGAAGAGGGTATCCTATTCCTCTGTCATCTTTTCCCAAGTCCTTTATTTATATTTTATTTTATTTTTTATTATGTTATGTTAATCACCATACAGTACATCATTAGTTTTTGATGTAGTGTTCCATGGTTCATTGTTTGCATATAACACTCAGTGCTCCATGCAATACGTGTCCTCCTTAATACCCATCACCAGGCTAACCCGTCCCCTCACCCCCCTCCCCTCTAAAACCCTCAGTTTGTTTCTCGGAATCCATAGTCTCTCATGGTTCGTCTCCCCCTCCGATTTCCCCCCCTTCATTTTTCCCTTCCTTCTCCTAATGTCCTCCATGCTATTCCTTACGTTCCACAAATAAGTGAAACCATATGATAATTGACTTTCTCTGCTTGACTTATTTCACTTAGCATAATCTCCTCCAGTCCCATCCATGTTGATGTAAAAATTGGGTATTCATCCTTTCTGATGGCTGAGTAATATTCCATTGTATATATGGACCACATCTTCTTTATCCATTCATCCATTAAAGGGCATCTCAGCTCTTTCCACAGTTTGGCTATTGCGGACATTGCTGCTATGAACATTGGGGTGCATATGGCCCTTCTTTTCACTACTCTTAATAACAAGTTTTTCTTCTTTTCTTGTCTTTATTAGAGATTTTTAAAAAAGATTTTATTTATATTTATTTATTTGACAGAGAGAGAGAGAGAACTGCAGGGGGAGTAGCAGAGGGAGAGGGAAAAGCAGGCTCTCCACTGATGTATTATTTGTTTCAGCATACAGGTCTGTGATTCATCAGTCTTACACAATTCACAGTGCTCATCATAGCACATACCCTCCCCAAAAAAGTCAACTGCTTTGAATGATTACCATAAGCTACTTTTTCTAGTCAGTATTACAGATAACATGCCCCTCCTTGCTGGACTTTTAAAATAATTGTTACATTGACCCTAAGCAGGGTGCTCCCAGTGGCCTGTCCATGACACATCCTGACCACATCCAGTCATTCAGGAGCCCAGGCTTCGCCCATTGAGTCTGGTGTCTCAAAGGGACTTAGGGCTCTATTGTATCTCTGTATTCAATGGCAGCCATTCTGCAAAAGTAAAAAAAAAAATGGGAACATTAAAAATAGCAATGTTTGTCAGGGGTTGGGGAGAGGAAGGAACCAATAGACAGAGCTCAGATGATTTTAAGGGCAGTGAAACTCTCCTGTACTATAAGTGTGTGTGTGTGTGTGTGTGGTGAACATTACATAGATATCACAAAAGGTATAGACTGGAGAACACCAAGAATGAACCTTGAGGTAAACTATGGACTCTGAGTGATAAGGATGTGTCCATAGAGTTTCATCCTGTGTAAGTAATGTACCATCTGGTGGGGGATGTTGATAGTGGGGAAGGCTGTCCATGTGTGTGATTTTAGTAGATGTGTGGAACCTCTCTTCACTTTCTGCTCAGTTTTGCTGTGAACCTCAAACTGTTCCTAAAAAAAACTCTAGTAAAGGGGCACCTGGGTGGCTCAGTCAGTTAAGTATCTGCCTTAGGCTCATGTCATGATCCCTGGGTCCTGGGATCGAGCACCACATCATTTATTTATTTTTAAATTTAAATTCAATTAGCCAAGGTATAGTACATCATTAGTTTTTGATATAATGTTCAATGATTCATTAGTTCAGTAAAACACCCAGTGCTCATCATATCATGTGCCCTCTTTAATGCTCATCACCCAGTTCAATTTAATTAACATATACTGTATTATTGGTTTCAGAGGTACAATCCAGTGATTCATCAGTTGCATACAGCACCCAGTGCTCATTACTTTAAGTACCCTTCTTAATGCTCATTGCCCAATTATCCCATTCCCCCACCCACCTCTCCTCCAGCAACCTTTAATTTGTTTCCTGGAGTTCAGTGTCTCTTATGGTAAGCCTCCCTTTCAATTTTCATCTTATTTTATTTTACCTTCCCTTCACTATATTCCTCTGTAATGTTTCTTAGATTCCACAGATCAGTGACATCATATGGTATTATCTTTCTCTGACTGACTTATTTCACTTAACATAATACCCTCTAGTTCCATCCATGTCATTGCAAATGGCAAGATATCATTCTTTTTGGTGGCTGAGTAATATTCCAGTGTGTGTGTGTGTGTGTGTGTGTGTGTGTGTGTGTGTATACACATACATATATATACCACATTTTTTTTTAAAGATTTTATTTATTTGTGTCAGAGAGAGAGAGAGCACAAGCAGGGGCAGTGGCAGGCAGAGGAGGCAGAAGGAGAAGCAGGCTCCCCACCGAGCAGGGAGCCCGATGTGGGGCTCGATCCCAGGACGCTGGGATCATGACCTGAGCCAAAGGCAGACGCTTAACCAACTTAGCCACCCAGGCGCCCCATATATACCACATCTTTATTGATTTATATTTCAATGAACATCTGGGCTCTTTCCATATTTTGGCTATTGTGGACATTGGTGCTATTGCACTACTACGTATTTATCCAAAGGATACAAACATAGTGATTCAAAGGGGCACATGCAGTCCAATGTTTATAGCAGCAATGTCTAATGATGCTTTGAAAATTAGTGTTTATTCAAAGAATGAATGCTTATGGATAGATTTGTATGACTTGATTACTATTTAGGGTAACTATCATATATTCAGTTATTTTTTATGTGTACATTTATAGTATAACAATTATTTTCTTTCACTAATAAACTAATATGACTAGTGTTGTGTTTATCACATAGCTCAGTGATCAAAGTTTGTATAGTCTTTCTTAAAATATTTAAAAGTAAATGGAATATATTCTGAGTCTATTCAGAAAACTTAGCCCGTGTTTTGTTTTTTCATAGAACTTCTGCCCCCAGTAGGGACTTCTGATCTTGAACACCCATTGATGAATTTCACTTTAATTTGAATTTCAAAAGTGAAGGTGGAAGGAAATGCAATGTTTATAACAGCAGTGTCCACAAATAGCCCAAGATATATAT